GGTAAAAAAAAAAAAAAAAAAATTGGAAAATTTTGGACGAAGGATGTAATGTTCCCTTCGTTAGAGGGAATCCAATTCGAAGGTAACCGCAATAATTTTACCTTATTCATTGCACGACCTGTTTCTTACTCGAATCAACATTAATCTTCGTTACTCTGCCTTTTCGTATTATCGATTTTTCTCCATGCACACGTTGGAAGATGTTTAAACGACAGCAAATTGAATGGAATCGCATTAATCAGTCACTTGTTTTACACCTGGACTGGAACAATTTGTATGATAGTTTCACAATCAGGTCAATTTACTTCTTTCATTCGGCCTTTTTATTATTTTTTTTATTTTTTTTTTTTATTTGACGAATATAGCGTACATTTAATTATTATTATCTTGTTGTGATAAATCAATCGATAACGCGTCTTAATTTAAAAAGCTAGAATAGAACCTGCTGGACAGTGAAAAGTGAAAGTACAACGAGGAAGAGATAAAAATTATCGTATTCTTTATATAAATTCAGTAATACACGTAATAGTAATAATAATTAAATATACTTGTTTTCCTTTCAAATGTAGGGTTAATTATCAATCGGATTTTTCACCTATCTTTTGCCGTTTCTCGTTCAGAAGAAGAATCTTATAAAGAAAGAAATTAGTCCAGGTTCTCTAATAATCGAGACGTAACAGAGAGATGGGTTCTCGAATGTTATGGGTCCCTCGTTTGGCCCCCATCGAGGGACACTCGATAGGGGAAGGTCCCCTTCCTCCTGTCCGACTTTAGCTCGGGTCTCGCGACGGTCTCGCAGCGCTTACGGGAGTTTGTAAACGAGTCGCCATTTAGCAACGTGAGAGACGCGTGTATGACGAAGTGAAGACATCGTGGACTCATCGAGAAAACGTATCCAGAATCGTGACGGTCTGCTTAGTGATCTTGATCGTGTTTTTTTCTGTGTCACGAGCCGAACACGATCTGGCCGGGAGTGTGACGCGTTCTAAGCGATACGTGTTGTTACCGTTCACGGACAATGGGCAAGGACGATCGTTTCAATTTCTCTCCACTCGTTTGTTTACCTGATCAAACGCAGCTGCTGAAATACGTTATTACAATATTCCTCCACTAGAAAGGCTAGAAGGATGGATTTGTTGCAGAAACGTCTGCCGTGTTGGTTGTCCTCGATGATTTGAAAGACACCGCGATATTTTAAGCGAATTATCGCAGAATATTTTTAAAAAGTTATTTAGTTCGGTATTGTGCGATAACGATTATAATCAAGTAGTGCAACGTTTCCGTGCATATGTACATCGTGTGTCAGTTGTTCTAGTGAAAGACAAGGCAATTCCTTTGTTAACTTCTTGATACAATGGATTAACGGATGTGTGTTATTTAAAAAAATACGACGAAACTATCGACGATTGTATCCTGAAAAATAATCATCGTGTCTGTCGTATTTCAAGATTGAAACACGTGGAATACGAATAAATTTTTACCATCATTGACGTCTTCGAAGCGAATAGATAATATTATAATATTACATAGGAATCGATGTGTTTCAAATAGAAATCCTTCTCGAAGAAATATATGTTTATACATATAATGTTTTCTTAAAATCAGTAAAAAAATCATTAAATTGATTGAATTATTAATGAACTTTCACAAGTACAATGAACAAATAACTTCGGTTGAATTATTAGATAATTTTTCTAGTTACTCTTCTATTTTTTGTCCCAAAGAAAATTGTGTTTATCCGTTTTGCTAAAATTAATTTTTCCAAGATATAAATCGAAAATCTTTACGTATCGTTCGTTATTGATATAATAAAACAAATAAATACTCGTGCATATACACGTGTGTGCTAATGGATTACGCGTAAGTGTCTGTGGATTGTGCTCATGACGCAATGATCCTTGGAAGTGCAATTTATTTTTCTCTTTCAACTCCGTCGTTGATTGTTTCATTGTAAATTGTAGAAAAATTCTTACACAAAATGGAAATGCGAAACGTCGTTGAGTAAAATCTGGATTAAGTCAACGTAATAAGGATGCCAAGCATGTTATCTGTAACGTGAGAAAATAACTCTCTCGTCTCTCATTGCTGTGCTTATTAGCAGTGATATCGTGAATGCAAAGCCAACTTCTCATTTTAACGCGTTCAACTGCTATTCGATATCTCATAATTCGATCATGAGAATGATAAAAATGAATCTTTATTTATCTTATTTATCTTTATAATTATACGAATGAAAAAATTTATATTCGTTATCATTGTTACATATAACAGTGTATAGATTGGATATAGTTGATATCTATTTTAGAAAAAAATATTCTTTCGGTATTCGATTGTTTTATTTATTGATTCCCGTCGGTTGAGGAAGTGAAAGAAAAAGACGATAGTTGCGGTTATGTTAAACGAGGAATTTCGCATAAAAAGTGAAAAATGAAAGTAGACAATAAAATTTCAAGATGGAATTATATATATATATTTTTTATTAACAATCGTAAATTTTAATGACTTAAATTTCTGTATTCTCGAAAAATTCTATCGATAAAATTTCCTGATTATGAAGTTGCAATTAAAAAAAATCATTAATTAGTTATTAGAATTCTTTGCCTCGTTAGAGGATAATTCAAATCACTTTCACTGACGTATACTATACATAATGATTATTTTTATCTTACACATTCTAGAAAAGAAGCGTAAATTCAAAGAATTTTAATTTCTCAATCGTTTTTTTTTCGATCGTTTTATAAGTGAAAAACTTGTTTTTTCTTGCAGAAATATTTTTGTTAACAACTTTATCAAACTTTGTTTCTCATATATATAATTTTGATTATTATCATATCATTATAAAAAAAAATATAAGAAAATTTATAAACTTATTGTATCAAAATGAAGACGTTTTGTACTATGATTATTTTCTTTCAAATTATATTAAAATATAAACTACACTTTGTACTTTGTCGTAAGAGATCGTTTCGTAATTTTGTCATACAATTGTGATTGAAAAAAGTTAAGTGTAAAAGTTAAGTAAAATTAAAATGAATGATACTGAAACGTGGTTGTCAAGCAACCATCGTTGCTTACATAGAGGATTAAAAAAATATCCCAGTATTGATAAAAAATTGTGGGATCCAAGTAGTAAATGGATTCTCCAATGGGATAATATTGTAAAACATCCAGGTGCTAGAGCAAGAGGATGCCATTGTGATATTCATAAACCACCATGGCTATATCCAGATTTAGGTACAAAATTTTATAGGATAAAATAAACTAATTAAAAAAATTTTTTTATTTTTAACTGATAAATTTATTATGCAACTTAATAAAAAAACTTTTTCGCTAGAAAATAAAAATTATTACTAAATTTATAAACTTTTAACATATTTTTTTCAGTTGGGAAAATCTCTGATGAAACAGATAGAGCTGTAAGTATTAATTAAAAATTTAAAGTATATTTAAATATTTAAAAATGCGCAAGATAATGCGAAATAAATTTAAATATTTTAGATTAAATCAGCTCCTGTGAAAAGATCAGCTGCTCCTCTAAAAAGAGGACAATTTGGTCCAGCAAAAACTTCATCTTCAACTCTAGGTACATATGAGTTAAATCTAATGGTATTTGTAATTATGTAAAAATCAATATCAATATCAATATCTAAATATATAAATCATTTTTTATTGTTATATTTTAAGCATGATGTAATTTACACTCATTTGAAATAGGTTCTAAATTAACTTTTAATTTGTACCTTTATCATATATACACATAGACATGTTAGCAAAATTTATCGTATTAATTAGTATGTGTAATAACTTGAATTATTTCATAAGTATATTTATACATTATAAAGAAGTCAGAGAAAAGACAATAATGCTACGTGTAAATTAGCTTTCAAAATTTTAATTCTTTAATGATATACTTAATTATTTGATTTATAAATTTTAGTTACATCATTTATTATGTTATATGTAAATTAAAGCGCTTTGTGTGTTATAAGTGCTTTATTTATGTACGAAACAAATGTACTCGGATTATTTCACGTGAATGTTATAATTCCTAAAATTAATACATTAGGAAAGCACATGTTCCTCCACTGCAACCAATGCACAAGTGTGAAGCGTGCTAACAATTCTTGCTTTCTTTTACTACTGGCTCAGCATTTCGTATGATATTAATAATATTCTTTTCAACAATATTACAAAAATACAAAATGTCGATAAACTGTTGACGTTTCGATGACGAGAATGCTAATTATTCGCTTGCATGACAGCTCAGCCTGGTAATACACCTTCCATGGTTCCAAGGGCTACAACCGTCAAAAGAAACGTGTCAGTAAAATCGACATCAGGTATCTAAAACTTCATTGGCATATTATTTTTGTAATATATCATGATGGTCTTTTCGTAAATTTTCATATATATTATGAAACGATTTTAACTTTTGTATTATTTTTCTTCTTTTTGCTCTTGAATTTCCATCATGATATAAGTACAAAAAAAAAATTTCAAATTCGATCGAACTAATATTCATAATACACTATGCATATTTGATACGAATCCCTTATTCAATGTTGCTTTATCTTCTTTTAT